ATGATAGTTTGGTATACTCTAGTCTCATTCTGACTGCAGAAAACTGTCATTATACCAAACAATCTTCTAGCTAGTTAGACACGATAGTTTAGTATACTCTAGTCTCATTCTGACTGCAGAAAACTGTCATTATACCAAGCAATCTTCTAGCTAGTTAGACATGATAGTTTAGTATACTCTAGTCTCATTCTGACTGCAGAAAACTGTCATTATACCAAACAATCTACTAGCTAGTTAGACACGATAGTTTGGTATACTTTAGTCTCATTCTGACTGCAGGAAACTGTCATTATACCAAACAATCTACTTGCTAGTTAGACACGATAGTTTGGTATACTTTAGTCTCATTCTGACCACAGAAAACTGTCATTGTACCAAACAATCTACTAGGTAGTAAGACACGATAGTTTAGTATACTCTTGTCTCATTCTGACCACAGAAAACTGTCATTATACCAAGCAATCTACTAGCTAGTTAGACATGATAGTTTGGTATACTTTAGTCTCATTCTGACTACAGAAAACTGTCATTGTACCAAACAATCTACTAGCTAGTTAGACAAGATAGTTTGGTATGTTCTAGTCTCTTTCTGGCTACATTCTGATAATTTAAATAACCGAAGTCGTTGGATGGTAAACCTGCCAGGCACTATAAGCTTATTCCCCCCGAGAGAACAATCTTTTATACCCAGGTCCGTTGTTTGTCCAGGGTCTCAGAGGGCTGGTTCATCTATTTGGCTCAGCAAGTCATTCAAGTCATTTAAGTGTGGGTGGGGTGGTGCGGCTTGAGGTAATATTTCCGCCCATACCTCCATCCTCCTCCCTAGCCCAATGAAAATGATTAAAAGCTCACTGGCCTACTCACAGCTTTGTTAGAATAGTCGAGACGTATCAAGACGATATTGATGTAATAAAAACCGACAACCTCCTCGGATAATAGATCAATGTTTTTCTCTTTAAGTAATTCAGTTGGTGACAAAAAGTTTTATAAAACAGTCAGAGACTTGAATTACTTTCTTTTACAAGTTGTCGCCTGTCATACTATTAGTTCTACTATTCTGCTATATTCTGAGAGAAAGAGAGATTCAGTATTCTGTCACTAGTTGTAAAACAAACAGTAAGAAGTTCTAGAAGTTTATTACAATATTACACTACATACATAAGGTAAGAATTTTTGTTGTTTAAGTTGTACATTATTATGTATGCATAGTTATAATTGTTGTACAACCATCCAGGCAGAATTTTTGGATCTCTGCTCTTACTATGTGCGCTTGAGATTTTGTTTGCGCTCAGTTTAAACAGTTGTATTAATATTTTTTATATTAAACGGTTTGTTTGGTTTAATGTTTGGTTCCGACAAAACTTTTGATTCTTACGATTTACGATCTCTAGTTATAAATTGTTTTACGTCTTCCGTTGTGTTTTAAAATGCTTATGTCTATCGACCACCAGATTCCGTCGGGCAGTAATAATATTGTCTATATCAATTGGCATAATATTACGGCAAACTGGACATTTTGGAGAACGTTTCGCAATTAATTCTCCAGTAAAATTGGATTCTTGGAAATTTTGATACAGTTGTAATTCAGTCAGCGGCTGTGGAGAAACTAGAAGCTATTGTAATATTATGAGTTTTGAAATAATCGTCATTAGTTTTTATCATACTAAAAGTCTGGGATGCGGAGTGAAAAGTAGACTAGATATAGCCAGTATTTAGGTTCAAATCTAGAGAAAATCTTATTTAGCAATGATTTTTGTCTTAGTAACCAGTCTTTCATTAAAAGGTTAACAATGGATGTGATGTAATTTAAGTTTTGATCGTAGAAATACCCAATAGATTTTCAGTAACTTTAAACCTCAATCCAATTTCAAAAAAATACAATGTAATCTTAGTTTAACGTCTGTTAATTAGGTTGCGATTTATTAATTCTACAAGGCGACTCCAACCTTAACATCAATAAAAAAACAAACCCGATTATTTGATTTATTCAATCAAACAAGTTATCTAGAGTGTTATAATAAGTGCCAAAATACAAGAAAAACGACTTTCAGAAACCGGCTGAACCTTTGTTGGTTTGAAAAATAGAGTATGAGATTTTTTATGGGGAACACGCTATAATCATGTTCGCCCTAGGTTTGTGTGACTGTTTCTGTCATGACTCGCCATTTTTTGGATTTCGGTCTTGAATATTTGTAAATAGTCTTCAATAGTACTAGAACAGCACGCAAACTGCACAATCTCTTCAAAAAAATCACTGTTTTTATATTTCGTTTACATTCTAATCTCAATGCTGAAAATTGGGGTATCCGAACATTGTACGTCTTGTTGATAGTGTCTATAAGAGAAAATACCAATGAACGATAACTGTTGATAACTGATGAGTTTTAACTGCATATCAAAATGGGGTCTCTGAAAAAGACGACTCGTTAACATATTTTTCAAACACAATAATGCATACACGTGGATAGTAAGGCTAAAATATCGAGTGAGCTGTGAACACCATTACTGATTTGTTAGGCAGGGAAATTACATTTTATTATCGTCACTCCGTCAGTACGTTATGCATTAATTGCAGACTAACCAGTCATTTTCAATCTGAAAAAGAGATACAGGTTAGCTGAAATTAAGCGGTTTTAGATGGGACAGTAAATATATAGATGACTTTTTCAAAAAAATTTTCTCGAAATTGTAACAATTGTAAAGAATTGTTTTGGCATCATTCTGTTTTAATCTATTTCATTTATAAAACAGATTATTATCACAATAATATATATTTTTAATATTCACTTGAAAGGAAAACCTTTATTTCTAAGGATTAAAAAACGATCATGTAACACGCTATGCTTTGTTTGTATTGTTCCAGTTTTTCTTACAATAAGCCCTGAAAGTCTTGGAATTAATTCCAGCGGTAATTAGAGAATAATCTAGACTGTAAGACACAATGATATTATTATTATTATTATTATTAATTAAATTATAATCATATATTCTTGAAACAATTTCATACTGAATACTGAATTCAATTGTTTTTATCTTATTGTTGAATTTTGCCGATTATATTACAGGTGAAATGTTATATCAGCTTCAACATGTAGTAAATTTCCTTCAATTTTAAATTATTAGAAGAAGGATTGAGGGAGATAACTGAAAACAATCTTTATTTTAAATAGGTCAAGGTGATTCAAGGGTCAATCGAGTCAATAATTTCATAACATTAATAGAGTGTTTTAAACTCTATCAAGATTAAACTGAAGCAGTGATATAAGCAACTTTTTTTTTATATCTTAGTCGTCGTTGAAAAAAGAAAAAACAACGTGTCTCAGATGTCAAGATATTATTGTTGATGAGGTAGTGATCGTGTCATTTCCAACACAAACTATTGTAACTATATCCCTAACAGCTTTACGTTAGGTGTCAGTCGAACAATCCGTGGACCATAAAATACGAAACTGCCTGTGCTTCTTACATAGAAAAAACACACACGAACATAGTTTACCGCCATTTTGAATCTCATCCTCGACTTAAATGAGAAAAGCTATAAAAGCGTCCAATTTAAGTTCTAGAGAATTGCTGTCGAGAAAAAAACCTGCACAAGTAATAGATACTCACTTTATTTAGAATCATTTAACAAGAGCAGTGAAGTAGATGTTTAATCTAGCAGTTGACTTCATCTTTAACTCCTATCTTAATATATAATTATAACTTGTCTAGTTGATTGTTTGATTTTAGAATGTGGGTGTCATTTTGTTTACTGAACATTTAATTTTATACTGAAAAATATGGCTTTAAAATCTAAAATCGAATTTCATTGTCTTGCTGTGACAGTCTAGAGGATGGTAAACAAACACAAGTTTGAATTTCAAATTGATCAAGTCGACAAGTAAATCTCAGTTTATCACACGTCAGTTAAAACTATTAACTAAAATATCATTCTTTTACAATCTTGTCTCTGAGATTTACTTTTCTTGTCACTTACAACTATCTTGATTTTCAATCATTCGTTTACAATCTTGTCTCTGAGATTTACTTTTCTTGTCACTTACAACTATCTTGATTTTCAATCATTCGTTTACAATCTTGTCTCTGAGATTTACTTTTCTTGTCACTTACAACTATCTTGATTTTCAATCATTCGTTTAAAATCTTGTCTCTGAGATTTACTTTTCTTGTCACTTACAACTATCTTGATTTTCAATCATTCGTTTGCAATCTTGTCTCTGAGATTTACTTTTCTTGTCACTTACAACTATCTTGATTTTCAATCATTCGTTTACAATCTTGTCTCTGAGATTTACTTTTCTTGTCACTTACAACTATCTTGACTTCCAATCTTACCAGTGTCAGTCAATCGACTTCTAACCTTTGATAACATTTTTTTACGATCTGGCGAAAGGAATTTCTCTACACCCCCGCCATCTTGATTATCATTTCTCTCCTATGTTTTGTTGTCACAATTGACCAATAATCTGAATTTCTCTTTTCCTTCTTTTTACCAAGTTTTCAAGATCTGTATAACTTGTTCTTTTTGTTCCATGATCAGCATCGTCCTCGTATTTACACTCTGAGATAAAACACAATAATAGATGATACTTGAACTATACTTCCTAGTATGATAACAGGAAACTTTTAGTATAATTCTTACTGATAACCTGTCAAACTTCTACAATCATAAACTGTCTATCTGTCTGTCAAACTTCTATAATCATAAACTGTCTGTCTGTCTGTCTGTCAAACTTCTATAATCATAAACTGCCTGTCTGTCTGTCAGACTGTACCAGCTGTTTACCTGGGCTAATTAATTGTGGTATGTAGTCTAGAAGGTCTGTAATGCTGTTCAGAGATAAAAAAAAAAAAGCATAAGTAGGAATTTTCTCCTCTAATTCAAGTTCTATTTCAAGTTCTGAATTCAACTGAGCGGACAGTCTGCTTACAAATTTTGGTTTAATTTCCCAACCAGCTGTCCTGATGGTGAACGTATATCTGATACACACGTGAACAACATGAGTGTTATAAACAGAGAACAGATGTTAATTTTCTCTAACAAACACTATGAAGTGTGTGAAGGAGATGACAATTGACTTTAGGGGAGCTTGAGCAACGCCCACTATAGTGTTTAACTACTGGAGCCTGTATCACTCTGAGACGTTCTAGAGTTAAAGTAAATACTGTCCAGTATAATAAGGTACCAGCAGGACACCAGACGTGATATATGAAAGTAAAATTACCGAGTTATTAAAACAACAGCCTATGATTGATATCACTCACACATTGTTCATAATCAAATCATGTTTAATTACTTTCTACATCAAAGATAATTAATTAAATAATGATGTAGTGTTTGGCTTGATTAATCGTCTACAACCTTTATTCTTTCTCTTATCTCGACCGGTGAAATAATCTTCAAAAACTTCTCTCTACTGATGTTTAGGTTAACGGTTTTTTTCTGGTAAAGGTTTTTTGCTTGGTTAAATTACAGAGCTCATTGTTAAAATGAAATCTTGCCTTGTTCTATAAGTTGTTCTTTGTTGTATTTTAAATTAGGGTCTTGATACCTGTGAGATGTTGGACTGCAATCTTAGAACATATTGAGTTTTTTTTTGTAGAGACTAAAAGAGATTTTTGCTTCGATTAATATTTAATATTGATTTATTCTGATGTAAAAAAGGAAAGTTATTTTGATAAGTTCTAGGTAGGGCAGTGTCGCTTTATTTTGAAGATAGTTGAAAGACTGGTTGCTTCGATTAATTACAGAACTAATAATTCTAAATGATTCTTGCTTTGTTCTAGTGTTTAAATTAGTTTTTTAGATTAGGTCTTGTTACTGTCTTGTTACTGTCTTGTTACTGTCTTGTTAGATGTTGAACCACGGTGATGCAACGTTATGTTTTCCTGGTAAAGGCTAACCGAAATTTCAGTGATTATTATATCAATAATTAAATGTCGTGTTGGTAAATTTCTGTTTTGTTTTGTAAGGGGTAATAAGAGAGGTGAGTTTATTGTTTCAGTTTGAATAGGTATTCTAGTTCTCGATGGTTTGAATGTTTTCACATCTAGACCTGTTGGTGTTTGTTTCACTTCTCTTGACTTGTAATAAACTCTCGAGACTATAGTATATTCCCTTTAATTCCAACCAAGCTACGAAAAAAAACTGTTACCCTTGTTAGTGCTTTCGTGAGTTGGCCCGGTGTCTGCTCTCACCCTTTTACATCTAACCATCGGAGACGACGTGAAATACCCAACAATTTCTAATAACATCCTTAAAACCCCTAACCCCTAATCCTTACCCCTATTCCTTACCCCTAATCCTGACTCCTAATCCTAACCTCTAATCCAAATATTTTGATATTTTCAGATGAATAGATGTACAGCTTGTTTAGTTTTGGTCCTGGTTGTTATCCTAACTGTGAACGCTGTTCAGAGTGCCAGAGGAAACGGTCGACAGCGTCCACAGTTATTTGGTCGACATGGTGTACGTCCTGGTATGAACGGTTTGGTATTTGGAAAGAGAAATTCCGAGAGCCAAGAAATGCAGCAAGATTGTTGGAGTTCGCTCAATTTATGTTTAAAAGTTATATTAAATAATGGGGATATGGAAGAAGTTTAGAAAATATAAAAAACTGAAAAAAAACAGGCGAGTTGTTCATTATAATGTTAATCCGTCCCAAACCCTCCAGTTTCATTTAGTAAAATCTTCCAGCTGTCAAACCGGATTAACTAGCTTATTTTGAAAGGGGTGGTCTTTCTTCTTCCATACGTGCAATTTTAACATACTTTCAATCTCTGACTTTAGCGGTAAAAGTTAATGTAAATTGGTGCATGAAAATAAATAGATTTTTTTGGATAAAGTCAGTCTTGGTATAAAGTTGTTAATTTATTTAAATACATATTATATATCAAAGTTAACACGTCTCTTCAGTGATGGTTAATACTGTTCTCATCTCCTCACTTTCATTTTATTTTATTGTGGACGAATCGGGTGTCGGATGTTCATTCTGAAAAGACAATATTAAGACTAAGATATCGCTTTCTATTTTTACTCTGTAATAATTTACTTATAGAGGTAATAAACTAATCTATAATTTAGTTTGCGTGGACTGATATTTCATTAACTCAAGTCTGTAACTAAAAAACAAATCTTCAAATCTTTAAAATATAAATACAGACGACTATTTGAAGTTTCTAGGATAGTTTAACACATTGTGTGGTGTAAAAACGTTTTAAATTCTGATGTCTTTCTATTGATATGTCAGAGTAATTTGATTCACTCTATTGAGTTGACAAGATGGCGATATCAGTGGAAATTTCAATGATTCCAAACAGTTTAAAAAAAAACACCGATATTTAACTTAGTCAAGACGAAGAAAGATTTGACTTTAATAAACTGGGTTTCTATTATCATTATTATTATTATCATTATCATTATCATTATCATTATTATTATTATCATTATCATTATCATTATCATTATTATCATTATCATTATCATTATTATCATCATTATCATTATCATTATCATTATTATCATTATCATTATTATTATCATTATCATTATTATTATTATCATTATCATTATTATCATTATTATCATTATCATTATCATTATCATTATCATTATTATCATTATCATTATCATTATTATCATCATCATTATTATTATTATTATCATTATCATTATTATTATTATTATTATTATTATTATCATTATCATTATTATTATTATCATTATCATT